TGGATGAAAAAGGTGCCCATGGATCAACTCAGGAAAACCTTCGTTTTCCTTGTCAGAAACAGAGGTTTCACAGCTACAAGCTTGTCCAATTATTTGACAAGACCGAAGGAAGTGACTAAAGTCTAACAGTCTGTGCACTTGGCCTGTCTCCTAAGCCCCGGCTCACCTTTATCTCCAAAGAGTTTAGATTGAGACAATAAATCCCGTCTGGAACAGTGTGGAAAGACTCTTCATTCAACTTTCACAGTCCAAGTGATGTGGAGGTTTTGTGCAATAAGATGTGACTGCACTGTTTAAATAATCTGTATAATGTAGAAACATTTATTCAACAAACATTTTAATTTGAAAATTTAGAATTACAGAGAATCTTCAAAATACTTTCATGAACCATCAAGTAACTTATGAAAGTTGAATTTTAAGAGAATTCCAACAAAAATTTGTAATCAGTTTAAAATAGCCTACTTCCAGTTTAAAATAGTGTATACTGGTACTGATGAAAAGCCTGAAACTAGGACAGGCCGTAATAAAGAAAGGTAGGCGAGAAGTTTATTGTAAAGGGAAATGGAAATGAAAAGACAACGTATGTGGACAGGCTGCACAATCATGTATAACAGCATAGTAAACCAAAACGTGACCTCTAATGATTGTATTAAAATACATTTAAATAAAGTTTTAGGCTTAATATCTTGATAACATTTTTTGGAATATACGCTTTTCTACTTTCTTGTCGAGAGTTAGATGAGAAGATGTACCAAACTATTTCTTGGCTGGGTGCGGTGACTTCCTGGAGTCCTGTCATCACTGTGAGCTTAACAGGCGACCAGCGGAGACTCCAGGAAGTCACTGTGCACGGCCAAAAAATTGTCTGGTACATAACCCCCCATAAAAACCACAACTTGTTGTTTTTACATAAACAAGCTCCCAGCGTTTACACTTAGCTAAACTAACGTCTCCTGGCTGTAGCTTCATATTTAATGGACAGACATGAGAGTGGTAGAAGTCTCCGCTAGAAAGCAAATAAGAGTTTTTCCTAAAATGTTCAACTGTTCCTTTAAAGTCCATCATTTACTTTATGATTTGAAGGCTTTTTAAAGTATGTGCAGATACAGTATAGCATGTCCGTGTTGGATGAACGGTTTCCGCCATCGCTCAGTCATGTCTCTCATCCCACACACGCATGTAAAAAGCACTCATGCAGAGTACAAAGAATAAAGCTTGATGCACACATCTTTGGGCCATACATAGCGGTGAGTGAAAGTGAGTGGATGAAATTGCGAAAACTCCAAGTGTTGAAGCTCTTCAGAGGAGCAGATGAGCACTAGCAGATGTGCAATCTGTAAAGAGTGCAGTTACACTATAGCACGTTCTTGGCAGGATCCTTTCAAAATGTATTTGAATTTTGTTTAAATGTAGTTTATTTCTAATCACAGACAAATGCCACATTATATTGTACATTTGAATACTATAAATGTACACATTTCACTATATAAACATAGTCTTTCCACTGTACATGAGTTTATGTATCTACAATAAATGCCTTTGATCATAACCATCTATTCTCACATCTGCTTTTAAACTTGCGTTCTGTCCTCTTTGACCTTGGACATCCTCCTTCATGTTCTTTGCACTGGCCATCCGTAAGAGTAGTTAATCCGTGAACTGCATTGTTTGGAAGGCCCTAAGACGCTTTGCAGATACATCTGTGTTCTGTTAAAGTGATTGGTAATTTCTCAGATAAAGCAGCTGGACAGTTCCAGGGGGAAGACCCCTGCCATGTTATCTAAGGCGTGGGAGGAGGAAAGGGGGGGACCTGGAGGAGGAAAGAGAGATCCCAGCAACGTGTGAAAACTCCCAGACACAAACCATAAGAGAGGGACAGCCTGGTTACCGGGAGGCAGAAGTGGGACTAAAGCAGGAACAAGTCAGGGGGGACCCATGTTTTTAAAGGGATTGGTAGGGTCTATCGATGGGTCATCAGAGACCTCTGTAAACAAGTGTCACATGACATTTAAATCCACTGCTGTATTTGTTGATCACTAAAAATAAGATTTTGCTTCAGGAAGGGACTGATAGCTGAGGGTTTAACCAGATCTGCTGTGAAGGGTTTCAAAGTGTGTGTACTGTTAAACAGAATCAGCTTCTATGTGGTAGCCCAGAGGCATGGAACAAACCCCTGGAATAAACTACTCCTACAAACTTAGCCCCTTAGTGCTCACTGAAATATTAACTGTTCAAAGCAGCTCTCTGGTGGCAGAGATCACCATGTGGCCCGTGCGCTTTATGGCAGATGTTTAATAGATTCAGGTGAGGCATTTGAAATGAGCCTGACTGCAATTACAAGTGTTACGCCTTGCGTGACTAGAGTCCAATGAGATGCACATCACAACTAACACAGAACATTTCATTATGTGGAGTACTCAGATTCTTATCTCTACCAGAGGATAATTCTGCCCAAGATGAACAAGCCAAGCATCCAGAAACTTGTCTTATCTTGTCTAATTTGACTATCAGTATTATTACAGGAGAAGTGATGTGCTGGAATTCATTGCATAACTTGTGAAAAATACAATGTGACAGCAATTGTCATACACAGAAGCTCCAGACCAGTGTGTTTAGAACACAACCCCCAAACACTGCACTTCAAAATACTGTGCCACTGTCTGTGCGCCATGTGTACATGGAAAGGAGTTTTTAAAATATCTTCATTGGGAGACTGACCTCACCCTGTTGGCGCAGATGCTTAGATTAGAAAGATGACCTTTGACCTTGCCCATTGTTGCCATGGTTCCTCAGCCTCCCCTGCCCATGGTTTGAACAGGGAGGAGGCAGGCGGGGCGAGGGGCGCGGAGGAGGAGGGGATTTCGGAGAGCGAACGCGGATGCATAACCGCAACAGGTGGTGTTGATTTAAGGGAGTTCTGCCTTTCCATGCGCTGGAGCTGAACCCAATACATGACAAAGGCAGATCAAAGTGTGTTTCACTGTGGTGCGCGAAAATCCTTGTCAAACCATTCTGCTTCCTCCCATGAGCACTGTTTCTCCGTCTCTCTCTCTCTCTCTCTTTCTCTCCGGCTTGCATATTTTCCCCCTGCTCTCTCTGAAAAAAAAAGAACTGCTCACAGATGCTCTGCGGCAACAGTAAGAACACAAACTGTCATTTCCTTTAACAGCTCATTGTAGACTTATTAGAACAGGGCTTACCACTGTTCATGCTAATAGTTTCTTCCTTACTCTCCCTCGGTGCACTTGAGAGCCCTCGGAGTGCGAGGAAGGCAGATGTAAAGTGAAGAGAATGTCATGGAAGATTGTGATTCCACCCGTGGGGGGAAAACACGATATTCTACAAATGAGGTTACACACCAGAGCTTCTGAGCGCACACAAACATATACAAACTCTCAAAGGGCACTGCAATGTAGTATTTGGCTGAGTGCCAGATCTCATCTCCCGGAGGCTCTTATACAATCCACACCAAGTCAGTTTCAATTGCCAACTGCCAAGTGCATGCACACACACATACACGCTGACTTATAAAGACATAAACACACACATCAGTAAAGAAACACTGCTCTGTACTCACATAGAGTCCCGTGTGCTTGTCTCCAAAGAAGGGGAAAGCAACAGAGATCTCCACAAGCCTGGAGCCACCGTCGTCCTGAGCGATGGTCTGGGAGTCCCCCTTGTCCTGGCCAAAGGGGTAGAAGTCCTCCAGGGGCACAGCGGGTTCCACCCCAGGCAGCAGGTCCAGGGACAGCAGGGTGCAGAAGCAGGGCAGCAGGGCTCGCAGCACCAACACCATGGCCTCAGCCACCCAGGGATGGAGATGACAGCAGGCACCGCGGAGGGGAGGGAGGAGCACGCACACCTGAGGCAACAAGAGCAGAGCAGAGCAGAGCAGAGCAGAGCAGAACAGGACAAGAGCGTACGTTCCTCCTCTCAACCACAGCAGTCTGAATCCTCCCCTGACTGCTCCCTGGCTCTGCCTCTCTCTCTCCTCACTTGTCCTTTAGTAGTGAACTGGGCTTCTTGTGTGAGACAGGGGAATACTGTAGATTCCTTGCATTCTGCTTGCTGCTGGGTAGTGCATGAGCTACACTGCGTCTCACTGAAATGAAACGAGGGAAGGAATGAAAGAGGGGGAGCAGCGTGATTCAGCTGAGATTTTTTTTTTAACAATCCTGCGATTTGGTCCCTGATGGTCAGCTTAGAAATATCCTCAATAAAAGCTCTATTCTGCCTGCCAAAGGAGTTCTTTCAGTTTTGGCCCCACCTCCCCCACAGGGATTCACTACCTTGCATAATTAGCTCCTTCCAGCCAATAGCTGAAAAGAGGCCGGTAACTGGATAACCACTGGGCGGGTCTATGATAATCAAAGGGCTGCTTTAAAGAAACTCTGACAATATTTTCCCCTTTCAGTGAAACTCCTACTATGTACAGTTACCAAAGCATGCAAGGTTACAAAGTGAGAAGACATGCATGTGCACTGTTGTGAAAATGCAACACTGTGCAGTTAGTATGGAAATTAAATGAAAATAAATGAGTTACTGGCATTTAAGATACTCACACACAAAGCAGATGCACGTGTGGATGAATACACACAAACACATGGTGAGCACAACATATTTGTGGTTTCTAATCAGCAAAGGGAAGAGAAGAGCACATATTAGCTCAAGATTTTAGGGTTGTGAAGGATTACAGAAGGATTGCCAGTGAAACTCTCAAGGAATGACGATCCCCACAGACCTTGGAGTCTGCAACGATCTTTGAGAGAAAACACTGTAGACAGCACTGGCAACAGAGAGCGAAGGTCATTCTCTCACCCACAACACTAAATCCACAAAGGCTTTTAATGGTGCGAACGCCAGAACTCGCATGCCATGAAAGGGCAGCGCTGTCCTTCGCAAAGTTCACAGAAAACGTTTTCCATAACAAAGTTGTGTGGTCAGAAGAATAAACATCCTTATCAAATAATCTTTTGTAAAACAAAATTGTTGAATCATGCTATGACACACCCAGTTTATTAAAAACAATCTTTTGCACAGACAACTATTGATTGAGGCAAATACAACACACAATAAAATAAATGAGTTAACACTATAGAATCTTTATGACATGACCTGAAACACTAATAAATCACAGCACCAGGAACATCTGCAAACAGTTATTGCAAATATTTGGCTATTATTCCCATTAGGATATACAAACAGTGATTAGGACATATAAAACTGGTACATGATAATCAATATGACAAATGAGTATACGAACAATCATAAGAGTAGAATAAAGCACCAACTAAGAAAAAAATAGAAAAAATGACACAGCACAAACAGACTGTAGCGAGCCAGAGGAAATCCTTAAAACAATTTGGCACATCTAGTCCACTCATAAACAAAACACTCATTGTTTGTTGTTGTTGAGTTTTCCTGCAGATTAATGTAATCCGGTGTGCACATGTGCATGGGTGGGAGCAAACGCCTAAGGAGTGTGTTTGTGTGCGCTTCCATATGTGGACGTAGCCTGTATAATGTTGTTGGGAAGCAGCCAGAGGAACCCAGAGGTGCTATATACGTCACTGCAGGGTCTCTACCTACACACCAGGTTGTAGCATCTGATTGAAATAGGCTTGTCGTCTTCTTGTCTCCTGATCTAGCTGCTCTTTCAGAGTCAGCAACTGGGAAAAATAAAGAAACAGAAAGATCAGAGGGTAGGTAGACACACACACAAACACAGAAATATACCTGTAGTGTAAAAGAAAGACTTTCCAAACAAATGACCCACACTTTAAATTAAAATACCTGTTCCTCCAGGCATTTGACCCTCTGGCGATGGGCCTTCTCCCTGGTCTCCAAAGCCCTCTCCACTTGGAGCTGACTGCCTCTCAGACGATCTGTCTCTAAATCCAACTCCTGGTGATGGTGGGCTGTCACCTCCAGGAGGCGCTGTGCATGAGAGTGCTCTAACTGGGAGATTTGGGCCTGAAGACAGTTCACATGAGTTTATATAATTGAAGATAGACTATAAGTAAAATAGAAGGTCAGGATTCTGTTGCTATAATTTTTTTTGGGTCATGACCCCTGGCTCACAGGGGTTCTTAGTTCTCTAAAATTAAATGACATTCTAACAGTAGCATCTTCCCTTTGAGAAAAATGATTGATGCTATGGCTGTTTAAATGAGACATATCAGTGCTTACAAAGAGGGAAGGGACTGGCTGTCATTTTTTAGCTTCCTGTGTGCATTTGCTGAATGACTTTATGATATCTGATGTGGAGCTGTTTGCATTCACAGTAATCTGAAACTTTTGACACACTGATGGTTTTGACTGGCATAGCTTGGCAAAGCCCTGTCGCTGCAGTGTGACCCCTGTCCCATCCCTGGCTCTCATCCAGCAGCCTCTCACCTGCACAGCCTGAACCTCGTCCTGCTTTTCAGTCAGCTCCTGCTCCAGGCTGCGGACTGCCTGCTCCAACTGCTCCTTCTCTCTGGCTGCCGCCACCGCCTCCTCCTCCCTCCTCAGCCTCTCCATCTCCACCTGACACCGACAACACGAGGGTGACATAATGTGAACGACTTTACCATGATTGTTCTGCACTCTTGTGCCTTCCTGTAATGCGTGTAGCAGAAGCCAGGCACAGAGCCTCTCAGTTCTCACAGTCCACCTACATGTTTCATCATCTCAAGATCGCTTTGTACAATGTGTGACAAGGAGATGAATATGTGGAAAATGGAACAAACAATATGATGCAAAAGACAAACTACAGCATAATGAAGCAGCAAATTATTCAAATCATCTCCTCCTGCATGGATTAATGTGACTGCAACATTAATGTGCCTTAATGCTTCGGCAATTTCACATCTTCACTCGGTCCAGAATGTGGCAGCAAGGCTTCTGACCAACACTAAACGTGTATTACTTCAGTCCTGGCTTCTATATGTACATGGGCTTCCAGCAGTTTTAGAATTGACTTTAAGATGCTTTTAATTACATTTTAAAGCCCTTTGTGGTTTGGCTCCCTTATATATTTCAAATCTTTTACCTCATATTCAGCACCAAGACTTTTCAGGTCTTCTGACCAAAAGCTGTTTAATGTTCTGGGGTCCAACAAAGGGGGGCTTGTGCCTTCACTGTTCTAGCTGTAACATTATGATGCTACTTCTCATCGACAGTAGCAGAGCAGCTGTTACATCATTATTTTTTATAAAACTATATATATACTATATACTTTTACTTATACATGGTCTGATATAAAGTACCATAAGAACACTGCAGCAAATCTTTAATAATAAAAATTGTGATTTTGTTTTACATTATTTGTATTTTATAGTTATCTGTTTGTATTTGTAACTGTGATTTAGAGTTCCAACAAAATAAGACAAGTTTAGTTGATCTAATCAAAAAGATTAAGGATAAAGGAAGGAGTTTAATATTTTGGGAAATATGTTAGCTGTTATGTTTCTACTCTTTATGCTAAGCTAAGCTAACCTGCTGCTGGCAGTAGCTTTATATTAACCATACAGACCTGAGGGTGGTATCGATCTTCTCATATAACTCTCGGAAAGAAAGAGAATAAACTGCAATATGTCAAACTATTCCTAAAATCTGGTGCAGCACACAGGTCAGCTCACCTTTTCCAGTGTCCTTCTGAGTGCTGACTTGTCTTTACCAAGGCGTGTCAGCACCCTCTCCATCTCTGCTCTGTCACTCTGTAGCTTATGCAAAGAGGTCTGAAGATTGGTGACCTTGTCCTGGAGTTCCTCCTTCTCTCGCTGCAGCTGCTGGGAACTCCCCTGGGCCTGCAGTTCAGCTTCCTGCTGTTGCCTCAGGCTCTGGGAGACAGTCAATCATTGACACATCAGAATGGTGTCTCAACCTTTGCACCTTTATTTGACCTTTAACCTCAGTGTGACTCACCTCCTTCAGTGTCCTGTTATGTTTCTCCAGCTCAGAATCTTTAAGCTCTAAGTCCTCTTGGGCCCTTTGAAGGTTCTGGATCTGCTCTGTAAGTTTGTGATTCAGCCTCTTACTCTCTGAAAGGGCATCTCGTGTTTTATCCAGACGCTCCTATAGTCGCACACACGTTGATAGTATACAATGAGCCACTCAGCTTCATCAAAACACGATTTTGCACTTATGCTGACCCCGTATTTCTCACCTCCCTTTATATCCTGTCTATTTTACGGTTCTTGACATACTGTTGAAAGTTGCAGGCAAGAGTCTGTTTTTTTCTCTTGCTTTTTACTGCAATGACCTGACAGCTTTTGAGCAAATCAAGAGATTTATACCGAGCATGTCATGTTTTTGTTTGCTCAGTATCTTTAAAGTGCAGTCCCAAACTAAGACCGGAAAGCTCTCCTGAGAAGCTCTTTGGAGAATTAATGAGCTTGCCTGAGCATTTTATTGCTTAGTCTTTGAGGTCCTTCAGGAAAACCACAGCAGCAAATGTAAATAAAAAATGCTCAGTCTGGAGCTGAGAAGGTTACATAACTGCACTGTAAATCAAAGCACAGCGATGGAAGTGTGGCTATTTGTTTTATTTTGAAGTTTCAATCAAATATTCTTGTGTTGGAAAAGGAGAGAAGCTTAGAAATGAAAAATTCACAGTGCATATGATTTGTTTTATGTTCCAGAAATGAGTAAATGTTCTGTCTTGTTCTACATTGTGGATCATGAGGTGATACACTGTACCTGCAGCAGTCTTCGGTCCTGCTCACTGGCCGTCAGAGCCCTCTGCAACTGTGTGACCTGCTCCTGCAGGGCTCCACTGCTGCTCCTGTTGTCACTGAGGGTGTTTGACAACTTGTGGATCTGCTCTCTCAGCTGGCTCTCGTGCTGCTCAGCTCGAGCCAGTGTCGTGGCCAACCTCTCCTCGTTGACCCTCAGCGCTGCACACCGGTCCTCGCTCTCACCTAGCTTCCGCCTCAGTTCTGTCAGTCTTTCCTGCAGTGCTCCTGCTTCTGCATCCAGCTCTGCTGCCCTGAGCTGGGCCCTTTGTAGCTCACCTTCAAGGGTACGCTGGGAGAGCTCTAGGCGGCTCGCCCTGTTCTCTGCTGCTTCCAGACACTCCTTCAGCTTCCGTTGTTCTACATTTGCACGGGATTCTAAGCCGTGCAAGAGCTCCAACTTGTCCTGTGGAGGAATTAGCACAGGAGGTGTGACTGAAGATGCTGTATACTGTTTTAGTTACTATATATCTCTTTGCCTGTTACGTACTTGCAGTGCCCTGGACTCTGCTTCAGCCTCTTGCAGACTCGTCCTGCATTTAGCTACCTCCTCCTCAAGGTTTCTCTTCTCCCTCTCTGTACGACGGGCTACTTCTTCCTGCTGTGAAAGGGACGAATGCGCCTCGTGCAATCGTTCTTCCATGGCTCTTTTTCCTGGAAGAGTTATGTTAAATATGCTGCAGGTCTAAACATAATTAATAACTGTTATTTACTGTTTTTGAAGGATCCACCTACCCAGCTCTGATTGCTTCAAGGACTTCTGTAGTTGTAGCAGGTGGGTGGCTGTCTTGTCCTGGCTGCTCTGGAGCTCTGTCACCTGCTGAGTTAGACTAACTATCTGAGCTTTGGCTTCATCCTGAAGGAAAAAGATTATGAGATGGTAACAATTCTGCTAAAATAAAAAATAAAAAATGTAATAAGGGAATTCAATTTAAGATTGTTGAACTGATCTGGTGGTCTGAAAAGCAAGACAAACTTTATGTCAACAATCCCCCTCACTCAGAATTTGAGGTTTATATATACCGGTTGTTCAAAGTGGCAATGAACTATGAGTACTACTATGAGTGGCAGATTGTGAGCATTTGGATGCTTGCTTCTTATTTAATTATCAAGAAGCACTGGAAAACACACAACATGCAAGAATTGCCACATTGTTGCCAAGTAGGAGTTAATCACATTAGGATTCCAACCCTGGATCTTTTTATCCGCAGAGAGGATGGCTTACTGACTGAGAAGAAGAAGACGAATCTTAAAAAAAACAACAGGGTTCCAGTGGCTTCACTGCTTGGACCCCTAAATATACCCTGTCTCTTTGTGTGTCCCTGAATTCCTGCTGGAATTCACGTAGGGCTGTGTGCACTGAGTCCACGTCCAGCTCTTCATCGTCACCTCGAGACAACACAGATCCGTCTGTCACACTGTCTCCCCCTAATCAGGGAACACACTCATTAATAGCAAAAAATGGCACTATGACACCCCATTATGAAAGCACATGGCCATACCTTTTACTTGCAGGTGGTTTCTCCAGGGAGAGGGAGAGCGTCTACGGGACCCAGGTGTGCCTGAAAGCCTTGTACAGCAGGTGCCAACAGTGCGGCGGAGAGCTGAATACAACCCCGCCAACTTGAGCTCTAAGTCCCTGCGTTTGGCATCGGCCAGGCCCAGCTGCTCTTCCAGGCCCTGAACCTTGCTTTCAGCGAGGCCAACCTGCACAGAGAGTTCCTTCACCTGGATCCTGGCGTCTTCTAGTGCTTCCCCCAGCTGGTCAGCTGTGTCTCTGTGCCTCTCCTCACACAGCTGCTGATAAGCCTCTCTTTCCTGCAGCAGCTCTCGGTTCTGATGCTCCGCTGTCTCCAGTTCCACTACACGGCGCTGCAGACCTGCAACCTAGGCACAAGAAAAAGTTATGCATGTCATAAGTAGTAAACAGGCCATAACTAGGGGCTACAGTTTTTTTTGTACAGGTAAAAATATAAATACAACCAGACTATCAAATCCCAGGAGTTCTAACTACAGTAGTGAAAAGAAGTGATCAACAACACTGCAGTGTAATTTCTGAAGAAACATGCCCTAAGCATTATATAATGACACTTGAATGTGTAAATAATAGGGACATGGTTTCTATAAATGGTTCATGTTCTTTGAGATGACAAGTTTGTCACGTTCATTGATAGGGTTTCAGAAAATATCTTCTAAACTGTATCCTAAGAGGTTAAAAGGTATTAAGAATCATCGATGAGGCATAGAACATACTACAATTGTGACCTTCCTGACCCCTTTATAGCATAGCTTCTCAACCTAGACAATGTCAAAGGATATTTCAAAGACTGGTGTTTAGATATTCGTTGTATTTTTGAAAAAAGAGACATTAATCAGGCTCCAAATATATCATAATATTAATAATAATAAACCCCTTTCCAGTTGCCTTCTTGCTCTTGGAAATTGATGTGCCATACATTCACTTGACACTCTCTATTGCAGTCATAAGAATTTGGTAACCCTAAAAATGGGGTTAAAAACCCTATTTCATAGAATACCAAGCCTAATTTTCCCTTACATTTTGCTTCACTGTTATTCGAAACACATTCTGACATCTGAGTTTTTTTAATTTCTGGTACCAATGAAATAGAGTTTCTTTAATAAAGTATTGTTCAATCATATTCAGATTTTGAAGTAAAACTCCAGACAGCCCATTTCTGTTACAGTAGAATATACAGTGTTATGGTTCACATTCTCTGTCTCTGCATTAGTACAGCATGTATTCTTCAAGTATGTATGCAAAGGTGGAATGTTTGCTCTAACATGTTGTTAACAGACTAAGTCCCGGAAGCCTTCTACCTCATTCAGCGCTGCTTCTCTGCCAGCCTCGCACTCCAGCACTCTCTGCTTGAGAGTGAAAGCCTCGCGACATGCCTCCTCCTCCTTCTGCTCCTCCTGACATACCCGGGCTTGCAGCTCTCGCAGCTCCTGTTTCTGCCGGCCGTTCTCGCCTTCGAGGACCTTTACCTGCTCATGTTAACATAGCACATATTACTTGAAGGTAATGCTTTATTTAAAATAAATCAGATGGAAAGCAGTTAACTCAATAATCTCTCACCTGTCTGCGCAGCTCCTGTAGCTCTCTGCGTGCCTGCAGGCGAGACTTCTCCAGCTCTCTCATACTGCTCCGTCGAGTGGTTGCCTCCTGGTGCATCGAGCTCTTACAATCCTCTAAGACGGCCACTTTCTGCTCCCTCTCCTCCACAGCTCGCCTCAAGCTTGTCAAGATATGTTTAAAGTTAACAAGACAGAAAACATGAATAATACCCATTGCTGCTAAAAGATCACAACTGAAGTCACGGAAAACCTGCAGTTCCATGTGACAGCTGTACCTGCTGTTGTCACTCTCTGCTCTTTTGACGAAAGCTCTTAGTTCCTGGTTAGAGGCTTGGATGGCCTCTTTCTCTTTGGTCTCATCACCCAAGAGCCTTCTCAGGTCCAGAGATTCTTTTCTTTGCTTGTCCCGATCCTGGGCACACTCCTGGAGCTCTCTGTGAGCCTCAATCAGCTCCCTTTGCACTTTAATAAGTCCATCCTCTGCCTCCTGCAGCTGCCGACGAAGGCCTTCTAACTTCATGTCCACATTATGGTGAATGAAAGAAATGGTACATCAAATAGGGTAAATTAGGAGGTCTTATAGATAAAGACTTAACCTCTTATTCATAAGGTTAATATAAATAAAAGATAAACTCCCAATTTTTTTCTTGTTCCTGGTTTCTTGATTGGTTGTCAACCCAATCTAGAATTTATTTGGTGATATAAGTTTCAAAGGACTTACAAAAGACAAATCTGCCTTCAACTGCTTTAAAAACTTGTCTCAATATAAATGGTTTTCAGTATAAATTCAATAACCCAACACACACAGAATCCTATATATTCTCAAAACTCATCAAAAACATCTATTAGGATGTTACCTACAGTACATCAAAAGCTAAAACATGTACATAATCATTCAAATCAAATAGGAAAACTCCTTCAGCATACAAGTCCATACATACAGTATTTCTTCATAAAGTAATACTGACTTTGGATCAGATAATGCATTAGGGCTTTAATGTTTGAAAGCTAAGCCTTAACATCTCCTATTTTAAGTGGTATGTGTACACTCTCAAGATACTGTATGACCTATATTCTGTTTTACTGCAACATGTGTGTAGTGAGAGAAATAGGGAGGACAGAGCTTATCTGGGCATGGATATGAGCCAGTTGGGCCTGTAGCCAGGTGCTGTCTCTCCCCATCTCCTTACTGTGGCTTGCAGTGTAAAGGATCCACAGAGAGCAACATGATAAACAGCAGCCAGCCCCCCCAGAGGTGGTGGGAGAGGAGGGGGGGACGAGGAGCAGAATGAGGAGGAGGAGTGTTATGCTCAGAGGCCACACAAGATGGTTCTTTCTCATAAACTCTAATGTGAGAAAAAACAAGCCCTTGCTGATCTGGCCAATTATACTTTATTTTATCAGATTTTTTTGGGGGGGGGGTGGGTGATGGAAGAGAGGGGCAGAGAATATGAGGGCAGCAGTGTTGTGTTATGTGGATGGGAGAGGGGGACCTGGAGTCCCAGTGGAGCCAGCCTCTCGCTGCTGCTAGGGAAAAAATAAACACTCCCCCACTGGCTTATTTACACAAGGGGCTAACTCAAACTTTGATTTCATATTATGGTACCAGGGACCGTATCCTCCCCCCATCTCTTTCTCCCTCTCTCCCCTTGCTTTCTTCCCCTTTCATGCTCACTAGATCTCTGTCACACACTCTCACTCCTGCTTTGTCACTGGCTGACATGAGAATCCTGAGATGGGATGAGTGAAAATAATCAAACAAGGAAACGAGCAGGGGTGGCGGCCAAATATGACAGTGTCGCTGAGGCTTGACTTGATATATGGTAGGGAGGGCTGTCCAAACCTCAAAACTCTTTCTGCTCTGGCTCCACACAGCCTCATTCACTATACTTTGACAAGACTAAGGAGACAGAGGGAAGACAGGATGATCCTCATTTTGCTTTTTTATTGAAACCAAAAAGTCCCACACATAAACAATCCCCTTTTCCAGGGAAACCAAGCTTTTAAACCAAGGCATGGTGAGGCCCTTACAACTCTGCAGTTACATCTTAATGAGGTGACTGTGAGCTTGTTATTTCACTAAAACGCCCATCGACCCCGTGCCTGGAATCCTGACCTCAAGCAACCCCAAGAGATGAGATTTACGGCTCTCATTTGGCTCGGAGAGGTATGTCACTGGGCCAGAATTATAGTCTCTAATTGCGTTTTTATGTTTATATTAAGGTCAATGGAACTAAATTTTCCTCCAGTGAAGCTGACAGGAAAAAAAAGACTCAGAGAGCGAGTGCTGAGCGGGAGTCTTTAAGAGTGGACACCACCTCTTCTTGTAGGATTTGGCCCTGCGCGCTCTGCACCTGATGGCACCCTGATGCTAGTAAAGCTCTGTGGCATTGGCCAACGTCAACAGCGGCCTATGGTAAATGGCTCTCCCTCACACTAGGACTAATTGGTGCAAACTCCCCCTCACACTAGAGGCAGATCCGTGGTCTCCCATCCTATGCCAAGCCAAACAGGCCTGTAATTTCCTATCCATTTCTATGATCCTACTGTACAAACCACCTCTGGTGACATCCACCCTATATATTCTATGATTTGTTTATATTTCCCTGTCCATGTCTATATCCTAACATTGACTTAAGCTTGACATTAGTCCTGTATGAGTCATCATAGCAACAGATATTATTATTCAGTGGTAGCACTGAGAGAGAGAGACAAGCATGGTTTTTATGTTAAAAAAAGGCAGAAAAAAAAAAGTTTTTTTCTTACCTCCTGTTGTGTGTGTTCTCTCTGTTGGTTCAACTCTCTGACCTGCTCCGTTAGACTCTTCTTGATATTGTCATGGGAGTTCAAGGACTCTTCAAATTGAGCCTGCAAGTCTTTCAGCTCAGACTGAAGGACAGCCCTTGCATTCTGGAACACAGAGTTAAATGTAAAGAACAAGAAAAGGGACCAGAGCTTATCTGACCCAACCATACAGTGTTTTACCTTATCCTGCTCCTGTTTGCTAAGTGCCTCTCTCTGCATGCGCTCAAGCTCCATGCCTGCAGTGGCCAAGTCCTGCTGCATGGTGGCTAGCTTCTCCGTAAGGGCCACCTTCTCCGCCTCCTTCTGGGATAAAGCCTGGTCACAACAGACTGAGAGGTCAGGGTCATTTAAATATCGCTTACAAAAGATTTGGCTGCGAGGGCATACAGAAAATATTGTGCTTAGATAAACTTCCACTGAGGGACAACGAATGGACCTAGCACCTTGCATGAGGATACTGACAGGAGATATGGCTTTTAATGGACACACACTGTTAACTGACAGATCTGAGGATGGGAACATTTTAAGGTTCATAAATAATCTAAAAAACCATAACAAACTTATACCAGCTTACACACCTGCTGCTTTTCACTCTCAGCCTGCAGGAGGCTATGGTTGAAGTCCTGCTGCAGCCTTGTCAGCTCCTCTTGCACCTGCTGCAGCTCCTTCTGGCTTTGCACACGCAGCTCCTCACACTGTCTGCGCAGCTGCTCCTCAGACTGCTCCCGCTGAACCATCAGGTCTGCATACTGCTGCTCCTGGCAACCACAAAACACACACACTCCTGATTAGTTAACAGATCATCCAATTTTAAATTTGTCCAGCCAACATAACTACACAAGTCTTACTGTACCTTTTGTCGGCGTTCAGCTTCAAGCTGCTCTCTGTGAATTCGCGCTTTGCTGTTCAGGGTCAGCAGGGCATTCCTCTCTACCTGGGCCAGCTTCTCCTCCAACTGACTCCGCTCTCGCTCAGCTAGTGCAGACTGGCGCTCAGCATCCACACGCATCCGAGCACCATCACCTGGACAGATGCATGCAATCTCTATCAGAATTCCACTCATATATTAGTCAGATCAGGATCAGCAAGATTTTATTTACAATTACAGGGGATACTCATGCATGTCTTTATGTGGAACATGCTAGCCTAACACCACTTATCTGATCCATGTGTGTTTGTGCGGAGTGGTGGGACCCTGGTCAGCTGAGAAAGCAGCTCCAGTGATCCTGCAGCCCAGCTGTTGCAGAGCTCACAGCTGAAATATGGATCTCTAGTGGGCTGTTGGAAAGGCTTCATGGCCAGGGGGCTTGGCACAGAGGACAGTGGGGTCTCTGAGGGAGGGGGCTACTCACGCGTCAAGGCCTCGTTAGCCAGGAGCAAGCTGCGCCTCTCCCCCGCCATCCTGGTGCACTCGGCCTCCAGAGACGAGGCAAGCTCCTGGCTCTCAAACAGAGCCGTCTCCAGGGACTCCTTCTCTGCTCTGGAACACAGCGGTAAAGTGGTTGGGGCTCTGAAAAAAGACCTCCGAACTACTAGGTGTAGAAGGTCATAAAATCCAATGATCCATCATGAGCAAAGTTTCCAAATAAAACCATGTTACTTAAAGACTCTTATTACATGTGACTGGCTGCGCTTTAGAAAGTAAAATTTGCTTAAAAAGTTAAAATGACCTTAAATACACATTGGCAGTTGGCCTGACACACACACACACACACACACACTGGGTTGTTTATGATGCCTTTGAGGAGACTGACTTACATTCATTCCTTACACTCTTAACCTAACCATAACCGATACGTCCCTAAACCCAACCGTGACCCTGACCTTAACCGATGAAGAGAGAAACAATTTTACTGTAGCTTGTGCTGAATGCAACTCCAAAAAAACAAACTGGGAAAACTGGTTTTAAAACTAAAATTGGTCCCAAAACATTTTAGAGGTCAAACCACACAAACAAACACACACACACACACACACACACATGCACAAACACACTCAGACCTAAGTGCAACCAACTCCTGCGTGAGACCACAGGCGTTTCGGTCAGCGGAGTTTAGCTTGACGTCCAGAGCAGCCTTGTCCTTGGCCAGCTCCTCCCTGTCATGGGTAGCTCTCTTTAGGGCTGTGGTCTGTGTCTCAAGCTCCTTCCTGCACGCACAAAGCTCCTCTGACACAGTCTGCATCTGCCTGTTGACCTGGAGACCGACATACACAAATAAAAAAATACCATCAAGCAATTAATTTATTCTTGTTGCTTCAATTCTTGCAGGCAAAAAAGGACTATATGCTAAATCATCATATGCATTCAAACTACAACATACACACTTCATAGCTGTATTGTCATAACTGTGGAACACATTTTTCATGAGTAGGAGTATGTGCAGCAGAAGGAACTCCTATATTAACAGTTACGTTATGGTTGGTAATGTGTATCTGTTGGATTGAGAATGAACCCAACCTCTACACTTAATGCAGTCACATTTCCTGAACTAATATTGAACTCTCAGTACCCCTTTTTTTGCTGTTATGAAGCATAAATTAAACAAACTTTAAGTGATTCATGACAGTGTATAGTAACTGCAAGGCCATAACAAATGCACCGCCTGAAGCAAAACAAAAATGATTAGTGGGGTTATGATTTTTTTCCAGTTACTACTTAAATCACTGTGACACACCACAGGACCTCTATCTAGCAACAAAAATAATGAACTGGGAACATGTGCAGTTGATGTAGAATTTTATTCAGCATTTATTAAACTCCAACAACAGATTGTTGTATGAAAGTACTGAGGAGAGGATTGTCCTGGGATTCATCTTTCACTGTAGAAATGCACTGAATTCAGCAGCCAATTTAAAATGGAAATTACACTTAAATCCAAACATAGGTTTGCACATGTGAAACATTATTTGAGGCATTCACGATCAACTGGAGTCATTTTACGTAATATCTCAAAATTTTGTGAAATACATATATTTGGTTTCTCACTACTTTCATGTCTGTACACTAAATATAAAGCCAGGGCCAGCAGGCGATTAGCTTAGCTTAGCATTAAGACTAGAAGCAAGCAGAAAAAAATTAGCCTGGCTCTGCCCAAAGGCAAATCAGCCTATCAGCATGTTATATCTTATTTGTTTACAGAAATCAACGTGTAAAAACAACATGTTGCAGTTTAATGATGGGTTACGTGTACAACCAATTTTTTGCCGTGGCCAGTAACTTTCTGATGTCTCCACTGCTTGCCTGGCAACCTCCCCATCACAATAGGACTCTACCGGCTTAGCCAAGAAATAATTCCAGCACGTAAACCCCTCATAAAACCACAGCCTCATCTTTACGTTACTGTTTGTGTACAAATTAAACAAACGAGGTATGACGTGTTAATTAGTGAGCTTTAGAGCTGTAGGTAGGCAGATTTAACTAACCAAGCTAAACTTCTGCTTCATATTTAGCTTACAGACATGGAAGTGGTATTAATCTTCTCATCTAACACTGAGTAAGAAAGCTAATGAGCTTATTATTATTACCAAAACATTCAAACTGTTCATGGGTTATTCTCCTGGAGCCAAATAATGATAAAGCTGTATTCTGAAACAGAAATAAATGTTAACTATTGACTTTCGAATCTCAAAATGGTATTTCCCTGATAAACTGTGCCTTCAAGGCTCTAACACACTAGCACACCGTCACACAATGTTTGAGTCTATAACGGGCCCCTGCAACTTCTAATATTTCACTGCAACGGATTGTTTGAAAAGCAACAATCACTGTAATTTGATTTTAAACCAAACTAAAATGAACTCACACTAACTAAATATTAGCACATGATGTCTTTCAGCCTCTCCTTAGGTAAATATTAAAGTGGATGAATTACATCAATGTTATGGATGTGAGTGGTGCCCAATAAGGGGATGAAACATGAGCTTAGCGCGATGGAGGCCACACCACGGCCTGTTTTATACACGGCTGATTTATTTTCACAGATAAGCTATCTAAAAATGTTTGGATGGAATTTGTCAAATTGTTTAGGTTTGTTATATTCTAGCTGAGATCAACACGGATATCCTAGTTTCACATTCAGAACAGATAACAAAATAGGGGAGGATTCCTTTCATTCTTTAGGGTACGAAATAGTGAATTCTGGATCTGCTAAGGGGAGAATGGGAACACTTTAGGTGTTAATTTATTGGGTCTTTCACAAACCCCCACTGGATATTAGATGTCTATCTATTTATCTTTTCCAGTTCACATTTGTTCATGAAGATCCCCTGCTTGTTATTTCCCAAGTTGCTCATAAAACAGAGTGTAGCCCAAACTGCTCTCCATATCCCATTTGACAGAAAAAACCATGGCAGATGTGTCCAGTACCTCCAATACATTTTAATGTGACAACATGCTCCACAAACCTGCTGAAAGCCATTAATAACATCAACACAGTTCTCCCAGGTGGTGGGAGCTGGGAGGATAGAGGCTGAAGTGTGTGAATGGCCAGGGGCCTCTGACCTGGGAGTGCTGCTCCAGGGCCTGAGCGTTTTCCTTCTGCAGCAGGCTCAGCTCAGCTTCTAGCTTCTGGCAGAGATCCTGCAAGTGGCTGTGGGAGCTCTCCAGGGCTTGTTTCTCAGCAAGCAGATTCATCATCTCCTGTTGCACCCGTGCTGTATCCTCCCTGGCCGCTGCCCGCTCTACTTCAGCTTCCCGTCTACGTTCAGCAAGCTCTGCCTTCTCACCTTCTGTCTGGAAGGGGAAACAGAAATATTTCACATCTGTTCTGTTCAACTATGCCTTCCATCAATGTACAGGACAAACTGTACAGCTACTGACCTGCAGCAGAATACGATTGAGGTCCACCTTGTCTTTGGCTAAGCCTTCGCTCAGGGCAGCCATTTTGGCAAGAGAGTCTTTTAGAGCAGCCTCTTGGTTCTGCAGTTTGGTGAGGGCTAACTCATGTGCAGCACTCTGGGACTCCATCTGTTGAGTGAATCACAAATATTAAGAGTATTTAAACCCCCTAGTGAGAATCTAGTAATACAGATCAGGCTACCTGGTGTAGAACAAAGCAGTGTACCTTGCTGAGAGCCAGAGCGAGGCTGGCCTTATCATCCTCCAGCACCTCCTTCTGCAGGGTGATTTGACTCAGAGCCTCCTTTACTGTCACAAGCTCCCTACGCAGATCTGAGTGCTTTATTTCAAGCTCCTCCAGACTCCTCTCGCTGCAACACAAAATGTAACACATACGTGACTCTCTCACGCTGTTTCTTTGTCTCACACACACGCAGATTATTTATATAAACAAAATCCCTTAACAGTAATCCATCTCCACTTTGAAAGATGAAGAAATGTTGGTGCCAAAGGCCAGAACACTAAGGGAGTTACTTTTTTGCTGTATCGCATGTCCTGCTCCAATTCTCAGCTAATCAAATTCTTTTAAGCAAAAGAAAGCCTCAAAAAGAGGAAAAAAATAAGTTTTCTTCTTGCATGAGTGCAGTAATGCGATGTAAATCATTTACATTTTCATCCAAATGTCATCTGGGTGCATTGCCGGCCGGAGAATGACATGTGTTACTGATCTGAACTCTAAACAAACGGAGCTTGAAAACAATCATGGGTGACGGGGTGTGTGTGTTGTGTAACGGTCATTCTGCCTGGCTCATGCTGTACCCTCTTTGGGCCTCAGTGCGCTGGCGTGACAGCTGCATCTCCAGATCCTCCCTCTGCTGCCTCAGGAGGTCCCGCTGTCTCTGGAGCTCCAGCGATGAGCCCCGCAGTACCTCCAGCTCAGCACCCTGGGAGTCCACCTCCTGCTGCACCTCTGACAGCAGCTTCTCCAGGCTGCGTTTCTCGCTGTGAGGCACAGAGGTAGAGAGAGGCAGAGGAAAAGAAAGAGAGAGTATGTTGAGGTCAGTTGCTGCACAATGATTCTACATCATAATTATTAGAACACTTGGTTTTCTTCTTTACTTCTTGTATAATGTTGCATAAATATTGTTTTTGGAGATGTTTAACTACATGTGAATATGTTCTCATAATGATAGTGAAAATTATCTGCCTAATTAAACACAAAACCAAACTATAATATTTGTCATCATCATCATAATCATTATAACATTTGTATTTTTCCAAAAACAACATTTAGTCCTAATGACAATTTCACAAATAACAAAACAAAGTCTAGCAAATATGAAAAAGAATACAGTTTTTTAAATCTACAGTCTTGAAGCATTGACACAGTCCAGGAAACTGATAACTGCAGGATCAGGAAGTACCTGGAGATGAGCTCCAGGGAGCAGTGATATCTGTTGCTGTCTCTGAGGCTTTCCTCCAGAGCTTTTTTAGCCTCCTGACTTTCCCTCCTTACTTCCTGGATCCTCTGCTCCAGCTCTCTCCTCTCAACGTCCCTCTCCTGCAGGTGATCTCGCAGTGTGTCCACTTGCTCCAGAGCGGCATCCAGACGCCCATGCAGGTCCTGTGGTTTGAACACGGGTGCGGTGTTTGTTGTGTGTAGGCAGAGAAACTTGGGTGAAATGTCATTACAAAGTGTTATATATATTATCTCTATAAAACAGTGGTTCCCAACATTTTTTACTTCTGACCTCTTAAAATTAAGCTATATCTACTTGTGACCAGTCGTTAAGGGGTTATGACCTAAGTGTATACATGAGCAGTTCAACCACAGAATGAATTTTCCTTCTCAGATTGTCTCAGCTGTAGGACTTTTAGGTGGAGAGTTGAAAAAACAGTATTTTACAAGAAAAAAGGCAAAAATAGAAAAAATAATAATTTGGAAATGTATATATATATTTTCTTTGGGATCTCTCAGATTTCTTTTGGGACCTCTTGAGCCGTTCCTACCCTCAGATTGGGAACCACTGTCCTAAAACATCTACAAGAAGGAAAGAGCAGTTTTTATTGGACCTGTGTTTGTTTTTGGTGCTTGGAGAGAGCACTCTGCACAGCCATCAGGGTAGTGTTCCTCAGAGGAGACCGGCCATGAAGAGGTGAGGAGGACACACTTTCAGATCCACTGCTATCACCCTCGCTGCCAACCAACTGAACACAGCAGGTATAATGAAGAACGAAAAACATTAAACTTCTTATGTGCTAACCTAATGCATGATGTAGCTCAGTGCGTTTGTTCTGACCTGCTGGATGTGGCATAAAATCTTTTGGAGGGCTTGGATCTCTGTGTGGATGACCTCCATCTCTGCTTTATCCTCTGTTCTCCTTGTCTCCTGAGCAGGAAACCATTATGGTCAGATAAGCAGCACACATAGAGCAAGCCTGACATTCCCCAGATGGCAGCCTTCTAGACAAGGAAGTCGTGGAGTTTATCAAGCCTTAGGTCCAGACTATAGGCAGTTTAGTCCCCTTTACCACCCCTCTATCTGCCACCTCCCAATCATGATTCCCAAGGTCCCACCATCCTGTCCAGACTGATCTGCATGGTGTTGAGGCTGGCATCCTTCTCACTGCTCCTGCTGTGGAGGTACTTCACCCTGTCAGTCAGTTCCAGGATTCTGCATAGATCAAAATGCACATAGAGACGTTGAAGAAACAAGACTGGCATGTCCTCCTCCTCTAGTACACCATCAACACTATCATATTCTCTGCACAGAATCATGGGATTAACAATGACTTTTGATAAGATCAAAAGCCAGCTAAGATCCAGAACACAAAGGCACTGACATTCCTGCAGTGTTCTGACTGAAGTGCACAGGAGATGGTACAAAAGACTTAATTCTTCTGTATTAGAACAAGAAAAATGGCTTGATGGGCAGGATTTTAATGATCAAAGCCTATGTAAAGTTCTGGGGTTCCATCTAAGGGATTAAATTTGGCATTCCTTTCAATCATAGGAAGAATGTAAATTTTGGAATTGATCAAACGATTGTGCTATAGATTACCTCAGGCCAAGAATTTTTGATGCCTTTTTATTCCTGACAGTGCTGGACAGCTAGATCAATCGAGAGACTGTAGAAAAATATGGGTGTAGGGTTTGTGCTGTCAGTCCCAGGTTTAGTTTTAGGGGCCGGTTTGAGCTGAGGTGGGATCAGGAAGAGACAACTTAAGACCTAAAATGTTCTTAATTGAACAATTGAACTTTCATTAGTAGTTATATAGACCCAAAGTCATGGAGAAAAATGCATCAACTGTTGAGAGATAAATTGAGGGTTTTCTTAGTTGCTTCAATGTGTTATCACTGAAACCAGCATCAAATGCAGTTTAAAGCTATGTCTTGTGTCAATTTCAAAAGACATGAAACAAACTCTTTAAGATAAACAGGCCCAGATGGATTTGGAGATGACTTTACCTCGAGTTAAGTTCGACTTTCTCTGCATCCCAGCGACCCTGAAGCTGCATGGCTTCTTTCAACTTGTCTTTCAGCTGCCTCTCCAGTGCTGACGTCTCCACACCACTAGAGGTGCTCTCCTGCGTTACTTTGGCCTCTAAGTTCATGCAGGCAACATGCAGCTGCCGGCTGGCAGAGACACACTCCCCGCGCATATCGGACAGAGTCCTGGTGAACAGAATCACGTGCATTGAGATTTATAGAACGAATATGAAAGATCCAAAAGGGTAAGGAAATATGCTGTTTTCGTTCATACAGTTGTGAGCCATTAGTCTAATTAAAAAACTGCCTGTTTCTATTTGAAAGGGAAGGATGTCTGTAGTGGTTAAGCTCTGGGATCAGGGCTCACTTTGAAGTGTGTTCAGTTTAAGTTACAGTACAGCCTCTGACATGATCACAGCTGTCTATGAGCTGAGCAATCATTATTAAAGCAAATTACTCTTCAATAGTGCTCACAGTGGTTCAACATGATATAAGCCATGTCTTATAGAGCTCAAGCTTTGTCCTGATGGATGATTTCAACAGTGAGGCTAGACACCTTAAGCCATCGGTGCCCCCAGTGAGGAAACAATAAGCAGGGAGACAGGCAACCCTGTTGACCTGTTCCACTTTGATCCTTGGCGGAGAGAGATGGATTGTGGTTGCAGTCGTGAGTGTGAGACACAAGAGAGGTGGGGGTCATGTGGAATCCTGAGTCGCTGGAGGGATTCTGGCAGTGCGCCACACTCACCTGTCAGTGAAAGTCCTTAGCTGGGTGAAAGTGCTCCGCAGGGAAGCGGCCTGGCGCCATAGTGCTCTGACACGAGCCTGTTCGCGGCTCAGCCGGGAGGCGCACGTCTGCAGAGGGAAGCAGACAACAAGGGGACTAGAGACTGGAGGGTGGGTGGCAGGAGTTGCTTACAGCAAATGATGGCACCTCTCATTTTATTGTGATCCCAAACAGATGCAATGCTGGAACTCCTGGGCTCTGGCACACTGGCACACATACAAATAATTGGATTTCCCTGAATCAACAGATGTAGCCCATTTACAGCACAAACGCCAGATTGTTTGCACAAAATTTTCCTCCCCCTCAGCAGTTGGAATGTTTTCACAGGAAACAACAACTCAAAAATCATAGCAGTGAAACGAACAGGGAATGAGAATGAATTGACAAAACTGGCTATGAATGGAATTCCTACCCCATGTGAACTCAACAGGAGTTTAATTGCACAATCTATGTGCAGAAAGGGATAAACTTGAGCTTTCCCTGTTGATTTTCTGACTCATTTTTGTGGTTTTTCTCACCTCTTGCTCTCTGCGCAGACGGGTATCACACAACTCCACGTCTCCACGGGCCTTCCACAAGCTCTCTGTTAGTCCATGGTTGACAGTGCCTGCCTGCTCCAGTTGTTCCCGCAGCATAGAGTTGACTTGGCTGAGGCTGGCACACCTGTAAATAACAAGCGCTGTGACACTGAGAGGACATTTTGGACTTCTCCCCTGACAAACAACTGTCACGACACCCGCCTGTAACCCCTCCACAGCACCCAAACTTCATCACATTCACATGGCCAGCATATCACTCTCACATCTGCAGCTTTTAGATCCACCCTTGCCAACCACACTTACAGGGTGAACATGTGTGACAGTTTTATAACGTCTGTGTCAACTTAGATTTAATATCAACCAGATCTGCTTGTATAGTCATTTACAAAAATGTTTACATCATTCTCACACTAAACACACACCCTGTTACAGTAAAGCACGCCACATTGCTATGTTTGGTTAGGTTTGGTCTGAGAGGAAGCCAAACCCATGTTTGCATGTATGGGATGATATTGTGTAGAAAGGGAGCTAAGACATAGGAAAAGAGGGATCAGTAATTCGCAATAATAAGCAAAAACATATAAATGGATTGGAGACTTAATCTCTACGCTACATTTACATTAAAAAGGGCTTAAGTGGATAGAGCTTGGTAACTCTACAGTGAGTGATATTTTAGTAAAAATTATCAGGTCCTGGCAAAGCTTCTGCCAAGGGCATTTCAAATAAAGTTCCATAACTGCATAAATCATAGGGCATTAAAACCTGGCCTCAGCTGCAGAGGTTGGCTTATACTTAATGTGAAGCATCGTTAAAATACTTTGGAAAAGAGAGCCAATAGTACCACTAATTTTCCCTGACAAACTGGATGCTGAGATTATCTGCCAAGGGCAGGTTCTGCCTTCGCCCTGCAGCAGGGGCAGGGGAAAACAGCAGGAAAGCTCAAGGAAAGGCTGGGAATATCTCTGCTCCACGCATTTCACAGAAATATGTCTGTGTCTCTTGATTTCTGCTTCTGAACAAGAAACAGAGGAAGAAAAACGGGAGCAAATTTCTTACAGGCTTATCCATGAATTTACTGCTCTAAGTCTGCGTCCAAATAGAGACTCCCTGCTGTTGTAGGTTGTCTGATTTCTGGATTCCAAACTTTATGCACTTTAAAACTCCATAATATGTATAACTTACGAGTACAGAAGCCGTACAAGTTTCTGTATTGGACCTGACTACCTGCACTGCATGGTGCCCATCACTCACCTCTTCTGCTCCTCCTCCAGCTGAGCAGACTTATTCTGGATTACCATGTTGAGATCCTGCTCTGCCCGCTGCTGACGCTGGGCTGAATCCAGGTGGGCCTGCAGCTGAACACGCACACCATCACATACACACCACCACTACTGGCATCCTGATAACACTCCAGTATATGCTAGCAGTAGTAATTTGCAGGTACCTAATATGTATAAAGCAACATAATTATTGTGGAAATCTGCTAATCCAAATTCTCGGTGGAGGCCACTCAGCCAAGAATAATATTTGGATGAACTAAATACTTTTGAATAAAATCGTATTCAGGACAAAAAGTCCATGTTTTACTTTTCATTTCCGCATGATTCCTTTGCTGGTTGTTAAAATGCCTTTCATTGCTTGTATAAACAACTGGATTCGAACAAATGAACATAAAGGATAGAATTGTATTGCAACATAATTCTTATGTGGAGATATAATGGTTCATAGTCCTCATGTCTGAACCAATTATAACTACTTAACAAAAAAACACAAGTTCAATCCTTTAACACAATTTAGAATATTTTTGTAAATATTGTAACATACTGTGTTAGGCAATAATGATTAAGATTAATTTTACCACCCTGCCACCATCCTCTTTGTCAGGAGAAAGACTACAAGACTACTATCTATTGGACTACACTACCCCAGCTTATTGAGGGTTTAATGCTAACAGGACAATGCCAGTAGATGGCCTCTAGAGGACCCTAGCAGGCCCTTTAGACTTAAGACTTGAATATTTACAGTATATCTAAGCAACACAGATCCTTGAAGGTGATGCTACAGTCTTGACGTACCAACAATCTCATCTTCTCAGACTCAGAGGTCTTCTCCAGCACCTGCGCTTCCAGTTCCCCACACCTCGTCTTGTACTGTAGAACCTAGTATAAAACAAACAAAAGCTGCACAGTTAAAGCCAAAGGAACTTTTTAACATTTTTTCATGTAACAATTTAAGAATAGTGACCATTTCTGGTCACCTTGGTTTGCAGCTTCTGAACAAGTTGGGCTTGTCTCTGCTGGGCCTCCTGGTAGACCCTCAGTTTTTGCCTGTAAGCTCTCTCCTTGTTCTGCAATTGCAGGGATCCTGGTGATACACTGTCCTGGTCTGAATCCACTGCTGACTGCAGCATCAGCATCTGATCAAGCTGGATGGAGTGGTAACAAATGCGCTTTAACGAGTTTGACAATGTGACAGGATATTGCACATAACAATACACAGTACACATGTTCTCTGCACTGTTATGAGTAAGATACATTTATATAGTCTAATGAGATCCATTGCAACAGGCCTGCACCAAATCTTACAAAGCGTGTATTCTGTTTTCTGTTTTACTGTTTTATTGACATTTTCTGGCTGTTGCTGTACTGGGCTGCATTATTCTGAACCGTATGTCTATCGCACCATCCACAGAGTGAAGGATATGTTTGCATTCAGACGAGTCATTTAGCAGTTTTTAACAGTTCACTGTGGGTTGTGTTTGTGAAAAAAATAAAGTTAATGCATGGGAGCTTTCCATGGGGTATTTGGACAGAGGGGTATAGGTATTCTATGAATGCATGTTCATGCCAAAAAGAACATCTTACAATACAGCACTCTTGAGTGGTAATTACTGTCATCACATGATTTAATGATATCAATACTGATGAGATTACATATGTGCATAGTATGTTCCCCACAAGAACAGAAACCCTGTAATAGTCAACATTTGATTGACTACACCAATCTGGAGACAATCAGTATTAATTCAGTGTGAGGGTTGGACAAACAGTGGCTAGACTTAAATACGGGGTGAGGGGTTATAGTATTACTGTCAGTCTATGGAATGTCCAAGTACAGTATGTTAGTATATTGTTTATGCATGATGGCTGTATCTGTCGAATGCATCTAAAAACAAAGATATACACATGTACTGGTCTTTCTCATTGTGGAATCTCATATCCTCTCCCATATCTGAAATCCAAATGTCCTGTAACCTCTCAACCTCACACAACCTAAACTCCCTCTGCACCACCCACTCTCTATGCTGGTGCCAGACACCCTGTCCTCACTAATACAAACCACATGGCCCTAGAGCACTACAACACACTGCGTGCCTCCAGCTGCCCTTGCCGACTTCTCATTTAAAAAGAGAGGAAGAGAGCGAGGGAGCCCCCTCCCTGCAACACACTCCAAACCACCATCCAAGCCCTTCAAATCAACCCTGCGACCCACTCCCTCCCACCTCTCTTCTGTACCTCATCTCTTCTCTGGGTGCTTAATCTCTCCAGCAGGCTCCAAGAGAGCCAAGACAATAGTCTCACTGTTCAACACTGAACCCAGCCACTTTGCCACCATTATTAACACATTTTCAAATGCCCTTTTCAGAATTTTATACTACAAACCACGCTAACGGCGATCATGCACTTGGCTCTGTGCTTTTGGTGTTTTTCTCCAAGGACCAGGAGAGCACAAAAGCTTCTTTTACTGCCCGTTGTTGAGGTGACAGCTTTAGGGACTGAGAAGGGAGGAACAACATGGGCGGAGTGTTTGAAACACACAAAACTGCAGCAGCTGTGTTTAAAGGGACTCCTGGAAACAGCTGTGCGTGAAGCATTAGTGATTATGCATCTTTTCAAGTATTTTGGCACAACTATAGCAATAACACTGACATACTAACAAGCAAGTACTTTATAAATACACCTAGAATACATGGCCATAGCACACAAGGTTTATTACAGCACATGAGCATAATCTACACTTGGAGCTTTATAGAGGGGTCTCTTTACAACTTTGGGGAAGGGAACTGGAGTACAACTGAGACCACAGTGTACTACACCACTGTAACTCATCAAAACACAAACCAAAACGAAACCCTCATAAGAAGACACCTATTAATACAAAAGGCTCAGTGATTTCTATATATTTGCCACTGATAAGACTCACAGTAAACACAATAGCCAAAATTAACCCATATATGGATGCTGGTGCAAAACTGATAAATGGGCCCAAGTTGACCACCCACCACTATTACCTCTCTGTAAAAATACACCAAGTGATCACAGTATAAACTTTGCTAATAGTTCTATGATTATGCAATAATACAGGATTCAGATAAATGATATTATACTTTAAAAGTACTGTGAAGCAATATTTTGTATGATTGAGTCCTTGTTTTGTTGCTCTAGTGCAGGCACACACATGAGCACCCGGCTGGCACGATACACAGTCCTGCCGCCAGTTTCACACTAGTCTGGTAATCAACAGTTGCCGGCGGTAAAACACAGAGAGGCGTAGCAATGCACCAACAAAGGAAACACAGAAGACTGCTAGCCAGTAAACAGTCATTTAAAATAATTTTAATATCAGCTTTGTAAATGTTTTACGGGGAAGGAAATGCATTCAACATGTCTGTCAGGCTTCAAGGATACACACAATATGTTTCGGTGCGTAGCACTGAATGTAAACATAATTTTGTTTGCTTGAAAGAAAACTCCCAAAGGGCACCTTTAACAGTGTTGATCCCCAAACAAACGTGCAATTAATAAAATTAGTTGGGTTTCTGGAGCTGCAAGCCGTCGGGAAGGGCAATGTCATGTCACAACCTAGTCTGGAATAGAGCTGTAACCTTTCTCATCTTGAACTTGACTTCTTGTGTATGGAAAACTAAAAGAAAACAAAACACATATTGCAGGGACATTCCCACCTCCCTAGAGCTGTAAGGTCATGCAAAGTACAAAAAGGTTGCACATTTGTATGTCACAATTTGCCCCATGTCTATGTGTAGTTACTTCCATCAACTGTCACTGCTGTTGACTACGCCCTCTCTACCTTGCTGTGCACTCAGTGACCAGGTATCCCTAGCAACTTGTACAGAACCCCGCCCTGCCCGTATGAGGAGGGTTGTTTACACTTTTTCATACATAACTGCAGTGTGTGGGCTTCTTGCCAGCGCCTCGCCCCTGCTTCACACACTACAGAGGGGACGCTTTTTTTATTGTTTCTCCCCAGTCAGCTGTAAAGCAGGAGGCCGGGGGCTGCTCTAGATTAGCCATGCCCCGTGCAAGAAGCTCCCAAGTGGGCGCCATAACAGTCTGTTGTGGAGACCCCCCCCCTTCACTATACTCACCAACACCACCATTTACTCCCTTGCTCTGCTTGCATCATTTAATCTCATCACCCTCATCCCCAAGTTAGCTTGAACTCATTGTTCTTCACAACACGCCCATCCATTGGTGACTGTAAAAAGGCAAAAGAGAGAAGCGAGTAATCCCAGTCCTCCATCTGCCCTAACTCAGGGGCTTACAGGGCTTACTGGGGGCCCAGAAGTGTGCTCACTGAACACCCTTGCTATTTACGATCTGCCTCAGAGTACAATCACTCTCGAGCAGCCTCCGCGGCCCCCTAAAGTGGGCTGAGCCTATTCCCAATGTAGCCTGACTCTTTGAGGTCATCTACTGCCATTTTGCAATAATGTTCAAGATGCAATTTATACAAAAACAGCCTTTTTGTCATGGTATGTTTTATGCCTCCATATGGTTGCTATGGTTCCTTTTCTTTTTTTTTCATTACCAAGTATCTGTTTCTTGAGCCCTGCTTATGTTTCCAAAGTAAAAGATTTTTCAGCCTCTTAAAATGTGCTTTGAATTAGCTTTTTATATTTCTTGATATTTATGATTTGTGCCACTCCTTGTATTGTCTCTTTTGATAAATATTTCAAACAACATCAAGGGATAATCTTGCTTTGATTCATCTGCCAACAAGCAACAAGAGAATCATTTTCAAGGCCCTTGTGAAGGCTTTGGTGTTTGGGCCAAAACTTGCTGCCTTGCTCATGTGGTAGATCAAGATCCAATCCATTTCAGTTACCAAGTTATGATCACAATATTCTCTCACTGACCTAATGTCACAACATTTGGAGATCTGATAACTCACCAGTTTATCTAATGTTTCAAAAGGGTTTTGTGAAATATCAGAAGTCATTTCTTTCCTCTCTCACTATATTACACAGGCATTGTGGTATCATATCTGTTCATCTATATAGAGATACATTTTCAGGCATATCCAGCAACTAGTCCACATCCTCAGTCCCTCTTTCTTTCTATCTCTGACTTACTCAGGACAAAATCTGGCCATGAGTACGCAGTCCAGCCAGCATGTGAAGGGTTACAGCTGCAATCGTTTTCCCTGGCTTGGCCTGGGCCCAGAGGCTTAATAAAGGGAATTAATGGAGTGCACTATCTGTCAGATTCCTAAACACAGCTGGAGCGGATGTCCATCGCCCCCAAGCTGCCCAAAAAACTTACTATCCTACTTCAACAACATACCCGTTCCTCTTTCCCCTCACATTACCCCCTGAGTGCTGACTCCGTGAAAGAGCCCCAGCTGATTGTGAAAGCTGTTTATGTATCATCACTGACGGTAATTACACAATGTGGGATAACAAACAGGGAGAATGGAAGTGAGGAGGGAGAGCTGCTGAGTGTGTTACCATGGGGTGAACGTTTTGGTTATGGGGACAGCTGCTGTGATGGCATACAGGGGATACAAGTGATCTGTGTAAATACAGCCAAACTAATAATACATGCTGTGTACTCACAAGCATGTGGCTGGCCTTGCAGCACTTAACACAACCCCCCCCAGCAAGGACAACGCTGTACAAAGCCTACACACACAGAAACCCCACTCAGTCAGTTCGACTTCACATCTGAGTAGGCAGTCTTGACACGTGAAAAAGATCTGAAAAGTGTGCTTAATGTTTGACTTTAAAGTCAGGTAACGTGAGTAGCCTAATGTCAAATGCTGAAAAGGTTTAATGGAATACTTTCATCAGAAATTGAGCACTGGGATGGGCTTTTAAGCATATTTTCTCTGGGCAAGGCAATTAATTTTTACAATTTCATGATAGTCAGACTTTTTGGCAGTGTTCCATTCAAACTGCAGCCAAAATTAATGGGTTTGTGCCAGCAGGAAAAACAAACTTGAAACAGAGAGGGGTAGCAGGGTAAAAGGGGACAGTAACACAATCCCCCAAAACAGACTTTATCTGCTTCAACTATGTTTGACAGAGTTTTTATGCAGAGACCCAGGGGATTCAAGATTTCAGAGGGCACTGGCAAATGGCAGTTGATGTCAGGAATCATTCAGCAAGAGTTTATCTTTATCCAACTCACTGCCACACTGCAGTATTGTGCAGCCACTCGCTAAGTGTTCAGGCAGTAGGGGATGGATGTCTGTGTCTGAGAAAATGCACACTGGCAAGACTCCAAAAGCAACACAGAGGGTTCAGAATTCACCCCGACCCCGAATTCTCCAACCTCCTGAGGCCATCCAACTCACAAACTGGGTCAAGGGCTATCCTGGTTCAGGTGCAATTTTCTGGGGTCACCAGAGATCACGCTGAGTGACTTAACAGAGACACAGAGGAAGGTTTTCAGAGTCCAGGTGTGACTTCACCAGCATTGCATAAATGGTCCTCTGTCAGGTCAAGAGACTTAAGGAAAGCTCAGGAAGAATTAGAATTTGGGACATCTAAGTATGGTCCTCCTTCAATGGTGGGCCTGCTTCATTATGACACTATGAGCATCAGATGGATTTCAGAAAGAAACATTTGGTAGCTGGGCATCATATTTCGTGTCATCTTCCAAGAAGAAGTGTCAAAGGGGGCAACCTTGTTTCAAACTGAAAAACAAAATGCTTTAAAGGAAGAGTACACATTTTAGGAAACATTCTTATTTGCTCTCTTGCCAAGTTAGATAAGAAAATAATCTGTAAGGTAAATATAAAAATAAATATGAAGCGATAACCAGCAGCTAGTTAGCTTAGCTTAGCACAAAGACTGGAAACAGGGAAAACAGTCTCTGCCCAAAGTAAAAAAAACAATCAGCCACTACCAGTACCTCTAAAGCTCACTAATCAACACGTTAGATCACGTGTGAGAAGAAGAAGTGAAGCAAGGAGTGGACACTCCCTTGTCACCAAATCTGCTGATTTACTGATGTAGAAAACATGAGGGCTGAGAATTTGCAGCCGTCCATGGGTACTCTATTTGAGTAAATTTTAAGGTTTGTGTCATACAGACATGGCTGTTCCTTAAACAAACTGACATGATGATCCTCTCTTTTCTCCATCCAAACTGCCATTTCAACCAGATGACAGTTTGTAACTGACTTGATCAGCTGACTTTGCTATGTGCTCATTGGCTGTTGAAACAGATTGTTTTATGTTCTAAAAACCAGCCACTGGAGAACTGACAAGCTGAGTGGGGCAAGTTCATGCCGCTGCAATTTTCACCTGCAACGTTCTAAAACTCGTTGTGAGTCTTTGGTGATTATACACTAATGAAAACATACTTATGAATATTATATTCCATTTCGACAATACATTCTCCTAAATGTTACACACTGGACCTTTACACCTTCCTGCTGCTGGCTTTAAAGTTTCTTTGGCTTGGTCCATCCCATGCCTGACAAACTGGAATGAAAAATGGCCGGTCACCTAGTATCAACCTGATCACAAAAGGCATAGAGCAATTTGGCCTGTAAGTAATTACAAGGGCTAGTTGTTTGACCCTTGGAACTGACAGGAGGGCATACTCCAGCTGTGAGCTGCAACTGTAAGATGGCTGTTACTGTATGTGCACTGTGATACCTGGTCCCCACCATGCTGAGTGCTTTTCAGCAACACATGCAACCAAAAACTGCTCTGGGGACAGGGTACTGCAGCTGGCTATGTTTGCTTATCCTTGACAGAATGAGTCCAGAATTGATCCTTCCTAAGTGCCAATCGTCCGTCAGAACAACGATCAACTTTATCCTTTCCTTTTCCTATCCTTAAATATTGTTATATTATTATGTGCTAGGCTATGTTGAAAAGACAACCAAATTTCAAAGATGGGTAAAAGATAAAAGCAACAAAAATAGTCACATCTTACGTTATCTAATATTAGCAAAACGCTGGTAACTAGCTAGCTAACAAACGATTCATGTAAATTAGCTACCTAGTTACCATAAAGGTCTAGTGTGTAACATTTAGGAGTCTATTGGCAGAAATTGAATCAATTTTTCTACAGTAGCCCAGAATGGACAAACCAAGAACTGGCTACAGATAAGGCCTTCATTTATTTTGGCCATCATAGTTTCTCCTACACACTTCACAGTCCGTTCCCATTCCCACGTTGTCAAATACAGACGTGAGTGGTGTTCAATTAGTCAATCTGCAACTTCCCCACTTGATGCCACTAAATCCTACACACTGGTCTTTTAAGATGTTTTTAGCCATCTAGATCAGTGGTTCCCAACCTGGGGTCCATGCCCCCCAGAGATCGCAGGGGGTGCGCACAACTTTGTCTGCTGAGGTTGTGAGGTTACCAAAATTATTATTTACAAAAATTACATTTATAAAATCCCAATAACACACCCAATTGGATAATCCAAATTGAAACATATTTTTGGTCCACATTTAAATTCATTATTATTTAAATTATTAATTTCAACAATTGGGTTTCACATCATCATCATATGATACCACTGAAGGGAAATATCTATACCAAAATGCTCAACCCTACTGTTACCTACTGAGATTTGAAGGTGTCTGGCTGCTTTCCGAAGAGCAGGTGAGGCATACTGATATGGGCCCCAACATATGCTGGCAAATTGAATCATACTATATGATAAATTCAGTAATATGATCCCTTCTGCAGTAAATGTTGAGGGAGAAAGCCATATGCAGGTAAGATTCTTTGCCTAAATGTTAACTCCACATGGATGCCACAGCCAAGGCAGTGAATTTGGCTCTAGGGCATTGATTATCACGCTGCATTAACATCACATCACAGCAAAGCTGCCAAAAAATCATGCTGTTCTGCAGGGAAAAAAGTAAGGAGAGGCAGGAGCCTTAAGACAAGTCACAACACGAGTCCTGTAATGAACCCCTTGCCTTGTGAGACACTACTGCATAAAACATTCAGCTGTGTTTACAGTTATAATTTCTGTGATCTCTTGCTAAACCCGAACCCCTCCGCTTTTAAAATTGCTACTCAGTGGTGTGAGCATCAACACTTGCTTATGTTTTTTTCTGTTTAATGCCTTTTCACACATCTAAAAATATCAACAAAATAAATATGCTATATATATCTGCCAAGCTAATTAAGTTATATTTATAGCCTTGGTTTTAAAATAAGTTCCAAGAGTAAGGCAAGCAGTGGGAGTTCATTAGATTTAAGCAGCAGAATGAGTGCAGTGTTATCACAAATGGCTGCTTTGTGCAACATGAAAAATGAGCTTTTTCTTCAACAGTCTCAAGGGAGGAGGCCAGTGACCTCCACAATTTTCCCCCAAAAACAGCAGCCACTACATGGAGGGGCAACCATGGGGGGGCTATGAAGGGAGACGCCGGTCCTCGTGAGCACAGGGGGTCTGAGTCTACCTGAACAGACCACAAGGAAACCCTTCATGAACCACCCTCCCCTCTCTTATTTACTCTTACAAACACATACACACACACACATGCATCCACACACACACACACACACACACACACACACACACACACACACACACACACACAATGGATGCTCATAGAGTACTTACTGTAATATGTAAACTGCAATTCTACAGCAGTTAAACAAAGATGTCTGACATTAAATATGTGCCAAGTAAAATTAATTCAGTCACGAGTCTGTACATGTGTATTCCGACATTTTTCCAACTCAGTTTTCACTACAGAACATGCAATGCTGTTTCAACCTTCCCACACTGTTTGTTTGCTCAGCCCCAGAAGGCTTTCCCTGCTGGAAAGAGTGGTGGTACACTGATGTTTACCGTAACCATATTCCATTTCAAACGCGTGTAGCTCTTTTGCTGTCAATGCTCTAGTGTGGCTGACCTTCTTGATCTCATCTCCAAACCAAATTTTACAAATTTACCATCGGCAGTATTATGTACTCCAACTCCTGTAAGATTTGTGTTAACATCTGACATTCTAAACAATGTCTCAGCTACTTAGCACATCGTGGTTATGCATGATGAGACTGTGATTATGATGATCACGAAAAGGCTACATTTCTTGTGTATTGCTGTTAAAATCAAGAATAAATAGAGGATAATGTGTATCAGATGTACTTACCTACTGAAGGTGATATCACCTGTGCGTCCCATTTGCTTTTTTATATCATTTTTCATTTACTTTCCATTATAGAATAAATGTTCTGCCAGAATAGCATGGTTACAACGAATGCTAAAAGTGTAAATAATGTTCCAGAGGTTGACCTTGACCTGAGAATGTGCTGCTGCCCTGTGTCACTCCTACCCTGTCTGTGAGACTGGCCTGCTTGACTAGCAGCTGGTCACGGTCCATCTGGCCAGGAGACAGCTGCTCCCTCAGGGCCCTGCTCTCCTCCAGCTCGCTGACCTCAGAGCTCTCACCTGGGATTAGGAAACAGATCATGCATGCAGAAGTGTCAATCTTACCACTTGTGCTATCATGATAACACGATCTAGCAAAGCAGAATAATTGTTTGTAGTGATTGTGTTCAATGCTTTTGTCTGTGCATTTCAATTAAAGCTCTCTTCCATACTAGCTGGCTGCTCCGCCAGGTTGTGGGTGATGATCTGGCGGATGCGGGTGGAAACGGGTGTAGGCGTGATACTGGACTCCTCTCCATCACCTCGAAGTGTCAGATTCCTCTCTCCTGAGCTGCCGTCAGAGTGAAGCAAGGACTCCTCCAACTTCTACAATCATACCAGTCAGCCCAACACATCACATGACTGAGCAGGAAAGGGCCAACTTACTTACATTCAACAACAATGTAAAATATTTTATATGTTTTGTATGAAAACCAGTGATCTGTAAAGTAACTGTAACTAAGAGATAGATTTGGTAGAGCAAATAGTACAATATTTGCCTCTGAAATGTAGTGGAATAGAGGTATGAAGTAATATAAATTCTCAAGTAAAGTATAAGTACCTATAAGTTGTACTACTGGAGTAAATGTACTTGGTTACTTTCCACCACTGGAGAACAAAATGCACTGAAATCCTAACTTAACCATTATGGGGAGTTATTCACTTAGCATTGTTTCATCACGTTAGTACTGTGTTTGTAGGTTTTCCTTCAACAAGTATGGAACGTAAGAAGATTTCCTCAAGTACCGTAATTCCATTTCTATTTGCATTTTCTGCTGTTTTATACTTCCACTCCACTACATTTTAGAGGCAATTACCCCACTTACATTAAGTCTGTAGATGCTGGTTACTTTGCAGATTCTGATAATTAATAACCGATTTAATCAACAAATACATTAGGATATGTTGTTATGGATTAAACTATCCAGTAACTAGTTACAGTGATGCTTACATGATTTGATTAATAATTATAATACAACAATACATTCTGCATAATGAGTACGTTTACTATTGGTAGTTAATACTTAATAATTTTGTACTTTGACTCAAGTAAACTTTTGACACCTGACTTTTACTTTTTACGGAGTTAAAGAGTATTTCTAGACTGTTTATTGTTACTCTCAGTACTTCTTCCACCACTGTTTTCGAAAGAGCTTTCTCACAGCAGACATTTTGACTTTTCATAGTAGCTGTTACAGGTGTTACAGTGCCAGGACCAGGAGCCTGAAAGTGAAGCAGCTACATGTTTAATTTCATTATTCACACCTTTGCTTTTCCTACTGTGACATGTCAAAGTGTATTCCTGAAAAAAAGCCTGTTCAAATATGAAATACGCTAAGTTAACTAAGAGAGTGGACGAAAGCTGTTATGTTACCAACCTGAATCACAGCCTCCAGTCTAGGTGAGCGTGCACCTTGCTCCCGTTGAGAACTCATTGCAAAACTGTCCCAGCTTTATCAATCAAATGTTAGCTAGTAACGTTAAATGGTTTCAATTGACGAGACAGAGACCCTGCTCTAGCTAACGTTAGCTTGCTATAATTGAAGCTAATAAAACTTCATATAGAGAGAAGTGTTGAGTCAAACGAAGCACAAACCTAAACTAGTCATTAAAATAATGTAATTCGAAATAAAGAAATGTCGACCTGAACTGGTGCCTGCATATAGAAAAGGCGAGAGCTGAAAAATAAATCAGACAGAACTTTTTGGTAAAGGCACTTAAGGAGCGACTGCAAGCAGCACCAGTCTAATCCCAGTCCACGTTACCAAGGTGACCACGCTCTTCCGGGCCGTTGCCATAGAAATAGAATGCTGGCTTGGGTGTTTCCATGGCAGGACAGACGCCATGAGCCAAGCTACAGGATTCCGATGGGTTAATCATCATCAGGCTAAAGGCAAAGTGAACAGGAGGGGTTACATCTGGTTAACCAGGAACACATTTTATTAATAACTCAAGCATTTCTACTTCCAAAACCAATAACAATCATAATAATCATCATCATCAAAACAGTACGCCGAAAACTATTTAATTTTATTTAATGACTCACAAGTACCATCCATTAACAAAAAAAGGAAATCAGATCTCAAACACATGATACAAAGTATAAATAAACACCTGCTGAGCAGCCAAGCAAGGGTGAAAACAACCATCTGAGGATCTTGTAACACACTATTCTAGGCCACAATGACATCCTGGGATAAACATGCCATTTGCATTGTACCATAGGTATGATAGAAACATGTCTCTGTGAACTCTTTGAGTTCCAGGCCGTTATGTTGAGTCTGTGGGGAAAAGCTCAGGCCACTGGGACGGATCAAGGAAGATGGTGCATACTCCGCTGTAGAACCAAAGTCTCGGCAGGAAGCACTCCACCTCCCAGGTGTTGGACGTTCGGTTGTAAATCTCCACTTCCACCCCGTAGTCCCCCTCCATGCCTTTCCAGTGGCCTCCGGTGACAAACAGCTTCCCATCCAGCGTTACCAGGCCACCATTCTCATGGAGCATGTGGAGAAGCTGGACCTGAAGAGAGGGAAAAGTCAACACATTGCTAAAGGCAACAAAACAGGAGAATAAAACAGATTATTTTTGCTATAATCATGTTAAATTACCATCAAAAGTAAAACAAAGGATTGTATTACTGCATTATGACTGCAGTCAGCAGTGATATGTAAGCCTACCTTCTGCCACATGTTCACCTCTGGATCATAAGAGTAGACTTTCTTAGTGTTGTCAGCAACCAGATATATAGTTCCATCCACGCAGACAGAACGAGGAGAGGACAAATACTTAGGGATGAAGGGCGAACATATGCTGATCCAGCTATCTATAAAAACAAAACATGTAAACATATATGATTTAGAAGAATAAAAAAAAGCGCCACCATGTGCCCCAATGAAGCAACACTATTAAATAAATCCTTACCCCCTAATCTGAACTGCAAATTTTGTGGTTAAAACAAAACTGCCTTATCGTCAAGGATTGATCAATAATGATAAACTCTTTTATTTTATATTTACCCAAAATTGGGAAAGACAAAAAATCACACATACACCAACCCACATATATAGAGGAAAAACTCAGTCAGAAAACAATGGTGTTGCAACAAATACTATACTATACAAATATGAAGATATATGGTACTTTATCTCTGTCATTTCTCAAAAGAAGTTGTACAAGGAAGCAACACATATTTGGTTAAAACGCTTTTATGAGGAAGTGGGGAAAATAGCTCTTTAAGAAACTGTCTAACTAAAACTAAAACTAAATGAAAAACTGACATATCATGGGAAAACAGGAATAAAAATAAAAATATCCAAAATGGCGACATTGGAACTGTAGCGAGAAATGAATGCACCACCAGGACTGCGTGAGGTTTTCTTACCTATAACAGGGTTGTAGCACTGCATGGTCAAAGCATTGTACTTAACAGCACACGAGCCAATCACATAGAGCTTCCCGTGACATGCTGTGGCGGTGAAGTTAGTCACATATTTTAAGGCGGGGCACGTCAAGGCCCAAGTGTTGTTGTAAGGGTCATAATGCTCAACTTCAACACGGTCTGCTGTTGTACCTAAAGGAGGGAAATATAAGAAGAGTTACAGATGAGTCGTGGTCTCATAAATGTAAACAAATACTTAAATTTAAAGATGTGTGTTTGCGGCAGCACACACCATCACCACCACACCACACATCTAAAATACTACCTTGTTCTTACGACCTGACCATATTTGAAACTATTCGACCACAAAGAAGATATATATGCAAGCAAATTCTGACAAACTATCACCTCAGATGTAAGAGTCATTAAAAGCAGATGAGCTACTTGAATTGATTAAAGTTTTCCATTGCACTGCAGGTTTAAGGCACCACATGCAGGACTGTATTTATTTTCTTACCTCCTATGACGTAAATCTCCCCGTTGAGCGTGGCCGATGTGTGGTTAGTCCGAGGCCGGAGCATGGGTGCCACAGTAACCCACGTCCCCTCTCTTGTGATGTACTTCCAGGTCTCTGTGGTGGACCAGGTGTTGGTATTCGAACCTCGCGAGCCCCCTGTCAGACAGACAAGAGCACTTTGTCAAAAGTCTGACAACGTTTCACATTCCCCACAAGAGAAAGTTCTGAGAGAGTTCTGCTCACAACTGTCTATCATTGCTTCTTTTCCTTTTACCCCTTATGTTTCTGTGTTTTAACGTTACTCACCTGTGACATACACATCATTGTTTAAGGAGACCATGGAGAAACCCCACTTGTTAGGGTTGGGGAAATTAGGGAGCTCATGCCACTGTTCTGTAGAGAAAAAGCATAATTTAGAGTGTGAGGGAAACTAGATGAAAGTTTTCACAAATACTGCATGTAAATGACCAGGAAAATATATTCACAAATGTCCTCAAGGGCCATTGAAGTGAAAGTCAAAGTTAGGTCAAAAAGAAAGAATCTGTTAAAAAAATTTAACTTTTCCAGCACTGCGGCTCATGTCGTCACTGCCATAACATAAAAACCAGAAATCTTAGATTGAGATGCAGCAATCTTTTCCTTAACATCCCATCCCATGAAAAACACAGACAAACATGCCTTCTTCCAGCTCTGCACAATAAAACGCTCATTTGAGGAGCTGAGAAGATGATCCAATTTTGTCACATCCAGACTGCATTCCTGCAGGGCCGTTTTTCTGTCAACGCTACATTTAACAACTTAGGACACATCTGCCAAACACTTTTTTCGAGGAATCAGACGAATATTTCCTAATAAAGTTCTGTTGTAAAAATGGATTCTGAACTTTTTGATACATGCAAAAAATGTTTGTACTTGTCGTCGTGTTGTAGAAGGCGCAGTTTCTGAGCAGCAGCCTTTGCAGTCTCGGGTCTCGGTCTTCATCTTCATCTGAGTCATCTTCATCATCCGAGTCATCCAGTGAACGACCTCCCATCACAAATAGCACTTCTTGCAGGTTAGGTTGCGGACTCTGAGAGTTAAGTCTGTCCATATATTCTGGTGCCAAATCCATTTTCTAGAATAGGAAAAAGTCATGACTGCTTTGGGAAATCTACTCAAATTGAACAAACAAAGATAAGAGAGAATAGAAGGAGGAAGTGTGAAGTCACTGACCTCTCTGTGAATTTTTTCCACGGCCTCTCTGCAGCTGGTAGAGGCCTGCACCAGACTGTCCTTCAGCAGGGTGTCAGCCAGGTAGTCCAGGCTGAGCAGGGAGAGACGGGACAAGGTGAGGAGTTCAGGGAGGTGGCAGAGCCGAGGCTCCTTGTGGTGCCTGACCCATTTCAGGATGGCCTCCACACGGGTACACTCTGACCGGATTTGTAGTCCTTCGTCTGAGAGGCAGGACACCAACCTGTCTTTTCCCAACAGTAGAAACTCCTCGCCTTGTTGTACAGCCTCAAAGTTCTCCAAGAGGAAGGCCCATGCTTTGGCCATCACCTCAGGGCAGCCATGGATCGCCCCAAACTCCAGGATTCCCAGGCAGTTGGTCGCATCGATCTGGTGCTGGAGGTACCGGCTGCACACAGCTCTCACTGTCTGGAACTGCAGCTGGCTGGAGGTACAGATCAACCCCTCCACGTTGCTCTGGTTGATGGTCAGTTTGCCTGTGTAGGCAAAGTCCAGCAAGCAGCTGAGTATATCAGGATCAACATCGTGAAGTTCCACACGTGCAGCTATGCTCTCTACAAAGTCCCCTGAGAACATGCTGTGGAAGTACGTGCTGCAAAGTGCCAACACGCCTCGGTGACAGGGGAAGTCCCGGCCGCCTGCGCTCAGTGTTACATCCACCAGTTTTGGTTGGGAGCAGAGGGAGCGCAAGCCCTCCAGGATGCTCTGAGGATGGGAGGACAGGCAGAAGTCCAGGTCATCCACGTTGCGCACCATCGTCAACTTCCGTAATCGTCTTTCAGCAGGGATGGTCAGCAACTGAGTTTAGAGCTTACCTGTAAGTGCAGAAAAAATACATAAATAAGAATAAAATCTTTTTATAACATGTATCTTATAACAATTCAAATGTTGCAGTGCTGATAACAGAATATTTAATAACATTTAAGACATTTTTAAAGTAACTGCTTACACTTATAGAAACTGCCATTTAGAAAAACATTAGAATAATTGGTTATTTACTACTTATACTAAAAAGTGGTACATGATAGAATATGTTTCTTTCTTTACAAATTAGATACATTTTGAGTGTTGACCTTTTTGATTGGAGCAGAAAAATAAAAAGTATCTTGTAGTAAGTGCCTTCTGTTTTAAAGTGTGGCATCACTGTGTTCTTACGAGGACTACAAAAAGTACTTTTGGCTCATGATATATTGTAATAGTCTGACTCTAATCTCCTCTAAAGCCAACAATAAATTACATTTCCTGTCATCAAATACTGTAAGATGAGATAAGTAACCAACAACAAACTCACCACAGGAGCAGAGAATGGAAATAATGGCTCATCCTTCCAGTAAAAAAGCGGTTTGTAGCTGAGCAGCTGGTTAGATCAACATGGAGTGGGCAGCATGGCGAAAGGTTATTGCCAAGTCACTGGGGAAGGGCTGCTTGTCGTTCGGTTATTTTTAGGACTGACAGCGACTCTGTGCTGAAGTCACATTCCAAACAACATGCATGGGACCCACAGCTGCTGTTACAGGCACATGTTTAGCATTTCTCAACAAGTCAACAAGTGGAAGCTAGCAAAGGAGATAAATGATGTAGCACCAACTTTGCTGTATGTTACAACAATTAATTAATAATACCAATATAATAGACAAAGTG